CAGATCAGTAATTCTTCTGCTACTTACAGACTTGGAGTATTTCCTGGGCAAGTTATTTAACTGAGTACCCCAATAGTTAGTACCTTAGAGAATTAGGCACCTCTCCAAGTCCAAGGCTAGATTCAGAAGCAGGCACAGCTCAGCATTGGTAAAGGGAGTTCCTTACCTAGAGCAATGAAATCAGAAGTCTAGTGAATATGTGTGTATGTATGTGTATGTGTATATGTGTATAAATGTGTATATATATATATATATACACACATATATATATACACACACACATATAATATAATATAAATACAGACACATGCCAAGTGACATAGTGTGGTGAATAGAGAGCTGGCCTCAAAGCTGTGAAGAACAGGGTTCAGGTCCTGCTTCTGACACATACTGGCTATGTAACCCTAGTGAGACATTAACAAACATTTACTAAACTCTTACTGTGTGCCAAGTGCTATACTAAGCACAAGGATATAAAGGAAAACAAAAATAATCCATGTGCTCAAGGGGTTTATAGTCTAATGGGCAAGACAAGATACAAGTAAATAAATGGATGGTAACCTCAGAGGAAAAGGGTGTAGAATCTGTGTGGGGGAGGGGAAGGGGGGGAGGACTTGGAAAGGCCTCTTGCAGAAAATGAGCTAAGTCTTGAGGGAGGTGAGGAAATTTGAAAGGTCTGGGGCAAGAAAGCAGAGCATTCCAGGCATGAGAGACAGCTCAGGTAAAGATGTGAAATAGAGTCCTATTCAAGGAATGGCAAGTAGCCAGTGTAGCTGGAATATAGAGTTCTTGGAGGGGAGAAAAGTATGAGAAATGGAAAGGCAAGAAGGGGCCAGATTATAAAGGTTTTAATGCCACAGCATACTTTACATTTGTTCCTGGAGTTTTAGTAGGAAGGTCACATGGTCGGAATTAAGCTTTTTAAAAAATCCCTTTGCTCACTGAGTAGAGGATGCATTGGAGTGGGAGAGACTTGAGGTACCAGGGGAGGGGGCACAGCTAGAAGGCTATTGAAATAGTTAAGGTAAGAGGTGAGAAGGGCCTATAGGAGGCTGTGGCTCTGTAAGTAGAGAGAAATGGGCATACACAAGTGATGTTTTGAAAGTGTGTTAGTGACCTAAGCAACTTTTCTAAATCTGTAAGATGCAGAGAAAGTGCTGACCTGTATTGGTAGAGGGATTTTCCTCACCTAGGAGTTTCCTGTATCAGTGAAAATATAGGTTTAACACAGGACACATATATGACATATATACTACAGGTCCTATACATACATACATACATATATATATATATATATATATATACACACACACACACACACACACACACACACACACACACACACAGCATATCTGTGTTAGAAGTCCAATCCGCATACACATAAAACAGGTATAATACATGCACATATGTAACGTGTGTTCCAGGCCCAATCCACACATGCAACTGTATGTTATGGGTCCAATGTATATATATATACACACATACAGAGATATTGTGTATATATGTATATGTGTATATATGAATATGGATATGGATATATATGTAATAAATCCATTTTCTATTAAGCAAAGATACTTGAAGTATGAAACAAGTTCATTTGTAACAAGAGAATACTTATCAGAAGAGTAGATTTTTGTATTACAGTTTAAAGTGTGGGAAAAGGATGCTTGGGTTATGGGAGAAAGTTGATTCATGATCAGAAAGCAGTTGCTATACAGCATAGAAAGAGAAAAGAAGGTTGAAAAGAATAGCAATAGAAGGGGACAGGTAGGAATACACAGTAAAGATCAAAACAAGTTTAATTTCATTTGAGCTAGGTAGGCAGCTAGGATGGTAAGTTAAGTAAGTTTGATGGAATCAGCTTGATAGAAACGTAATGGAGAAGAGTTTAAAACTGAGAGCACTAGACAGCAATTTCAGGTCCTAAGTTTTCACATCCAGGTTAAAATGGTCTAACCAATATAGTGAAATAGCCTAAATAGTATTGAGAAAATTAAATTTGATTCTATTTTGTAATTGATTCTAGTCTGTATCACTGCTGATATTTTGTATGACTAACTGTCATATTTGTCTCTGAATTAAGTTCAGAAATTCATAGGTTCATAAGTTCAGTCTTTCTGAGTTAAAAGTTCAGTTTCTGTATAAATCAAAAGAAACCTGTTACCTTTATACCACTAGCTGTCCTTCTACAATTAGATGAAATCTTTTAACTATATACCATTAGATATTTTTAGAGGTAGATGAAGTCAGTCAGAATTTCCTAGCAACAAGATGGAAAGAGGGGTTGTTGCTAGCCCTTCCTTCCCAAATTCCAGCCAGTCATATTGTCTCTCATGTCTATGATGCTTCTGACCTTGTAAGCAATGGTAATTTCATCCCTATCTGTGATTCTGCCTTTTACTTTTTGGATGCTCCCCTTTGTCTGTAAAAATGATATTTCAGCATTCATTTGGGGGTCTTAGCTTGCTCAGGAGGCTGAGACCTTGTTTATTGGCAAATCCATGCTTTGTTAATAAATTGATTATAATTAGGAACTTGTGCCTCAGTTTATCTGAATTTCAATTGCAACTATATGGATAAAAAGGTTATAGTTAAAATGTGTGCTATTATATATAATTATTATTCACCATGTTTACGTGATACAGCAATATTTATAGACTGATAGCTATATCAATTTCAATTTTTGTTTGACAAAGGTCACTTTAACCTTAAAACTTTTCCCATCCATCTTTGTACTTTCTCCTTTTTTTCTTCCCTATCTTTTTATCCTTCCTTCCCCTATACATGCTTTTAAAACCAGCACCTTAAAATGTTCTCCATTATGGGGGAGTTTGAGAATATTGGAGGAACAGTAAATAAAATCCTCCTTCCTTTTGCTGTACTGTACATCTGAACTCTGGATAAGTTAAGCACTTCATCCTTTAATACTTTTAATTCTCATCCTTGCAGAGTCTGAATTCATTGCTTTGATTAAAAGAGTGGGTCTCATTAATGTTAAAAAACAGTGACCCAGATAGCACAATGGACTAATATGTTGACCTCGTGACTTTCAGAGGTAGAATGGAGTAAATTATCTGACATAAAAGAGGCCCAAAAGAGATTTTACAGTGCCGGGGAAGAGCAGAAAAGTAGGCAGAGGGGGAGCACGTGAACCTTAATGTCATTGGAAATGGCTCAAAGAGGGAATAATATACACGTATATTAATCTATCTTACCATACAGGAAAATAGGAAGAGAGCAGGGACTTATAGAAGGGAGGACAGATTGGGGGAGGTAAAAGTCAGAAGCAAAACACTTTTGAGAATGTACAGGCTAAAAGGAGAGAGAGGGTAAGATAAACAGGGGAAAATAAGATGGAGAGAAATACATAGTAATACAGTGAAAAAAAAATTTACAGTAAGTGTCTCTGATAAAGACTTCATTTCTCAAATATACAGAAAACTGAGTCAAATTTATAGAAATAAGAGCCATTCTTCAATTGATGAATGGACAAAGGATGTGAACAGGCAGTTTTCAGACAAAGTAATCAAAGCTATCTATAATGATATGAAAAAATGCTCTAAATCATTATTGATTAGAAAAATGCAAGCTATAACAATTCTGAACTACCACCACATACCAATCAGATTGACTTATGTGACAGAAAAGGAAAAAAAACCTATTATAGGAGACGTGGAAAAACTGGAACACTAATGCACTGTTGCTGAAGTTGTATGCTGATGCAACCATTCTGGAGAGCAATTTGGAACTATGCCTAAAACACTCTATACTATGAAACTATAAAAAGCTATAAAACTCTTTGACCCAACAATACCACTACTAGGTCTGTATCCCAAAGAGATTAAAAAATGTGTAGAAAAATATTTATAGTAGCTCTTTTAGTGGTGGCAAGGAAATTGGAAATTGAGGGGACATCTATCAATTGGGGAATGGCTGAACAAGTTGTTACATATGATTGTTTTGGAATACTGTTGTGCTACAGGAAATGACAAGCAGGATGCTCTCAGAAAAATCTGGAAAGACTTATATGAACTGATGAAAAGTGAAATGAGCAGAACCAGGAGAACATTGTATACAAGAACAGCAATACCATATGATGACTTACTATGAATAACCTAGCTCTTCACAGCAATACAGTGATCCAAGATGGTTCTGAAGGATTTATGATGAAAGGTGCTGTCTGTCTCCAGAGAAAAAAACTGGTAGAGCCTGAATGCGGATCGAAGCTACTTTTTCTTTGCTTTCTTTACTTTTTGTTTTTCTTTTTTTTTCTTTCACAGCATGACTTACATGGAAATGTGTTTTGCATCACTACATATATATAACCTATGTCTAACTGCTCACCTTCTCAGTGGGGGGGGAGGAGAAGTATGAGAGAGAATTTGGAACTCAAAATTTTTAAAAAAAGAATGTTAAAATTGCTTTTACATGTATTTGAGAAAAATTATACATTAAATTAAAAAACTTAAAAAATAATTGATCAACCAGTCAATCTGAGGCTGTGAGTGTTATGAATCTGGGAGTTATTACATGATATGAGCTAGTTCTGGCCTATATAAAATTCAACCAAGGACCATATTATATTCAGTAGTCCTCTAAACCCTTTCTGAAATAAGCTAGGAATGAGAAACGGGGCTTAATGAATTGTTATTAAACACTAATTGTTTAATTTTGTAAAGTGCTCTCATAATCACCAATATTTTGAAACATACATCATGCAAAACTCTTGGTGATATGTGCTTTTATTTAATAAATATGAAAAGAATTATACAATCTAATTAATCAGACCATGAGTAGCAGAATGTAAATGTTCACTTATGAAATGCCTTTTTTGGTTGTTACTTAACAAAACCTTTTTGCTGACTTAAATTTACAGGATTATTTTAAACTGGGAATAATGTTTAGATCAGCAAAGCATATTTCAGTCTAAAGAAAGCAAATCACTTTTTGCTAACAATATGTTTGTGGAAAATTATTCCTTTCCAATTTTCCTTTTGTAGATGCAAAATATACAGAGTACAGAAGGAGCTCAATATAGTTCCCACCCTCTGATGGCAGCCATGAGACCAAGAGTTCAGCCTCCAGATGTTAGGCAGCCAGCAATGATATGGCATGGTCAGCTGACTACCACCACACTCAGTGCAGAGGTTGGAGTGAATATGGGGAGAAACAATGTTTCCCATAACTTACCATCACCATCTGGAAGCAAGTCTGCAACTCCATCGCCATCCAGCTCAGTCCATGAAGATGAAGGGGATGATACCACTATGGTACAGTAAGATTTTCTTAGCAGCTACTGAATAAGATAGTCATTTACAAGTTTAATTTTAGTGTCTTCTTATCTAAATTATGATAGGCAAAAGTTGTGAGTGTTAGTGGGAGCCACAGCAAGTGGCATGAGAGAGCACATACTGGAATAACTAAATAATTTGCTTCTCCAAAACTGCTTTGCAGTCTCTAGTTAATCTTTTTTAAAAAAAAAGACAGGAGTTTTAATATTAAAATAAATTCCATAGGTAAAGAGTCTTAAGATTTGTAGAAGGCAAAATGAAAAGTTGCCTAGAATTCTAGGAACCAACTTGGTTTTTTTTAACAAGAAAATGTGTTGCTTTAAAAAAAAATATATATATATATATGTATATAAGAATGCTTATAAAATGACTATATGATTTTGTAGAAGGAATTACAAAATATGAAATTCAAAAGAGACTTCAGAGATCATCAAATCCAACTCCTACCTGAATTAGAAATCTCATTCAAAATATACCTAACAAGAGGCCATCCAGAATCTATGTAAGAAGGCAGCTACTTCCACCTTTAGAGAGCTCTCCTTGTTCAGAGGCTTTTCTTTACAAAGTCAAAAATATCTTCTGCAGTTTCTACTTGCTGCTTTTATATCTGCTCTCTGAGGCCAAGCCAAATGAGTTTAATCCCTCTTCTACATGATAACCCTTCAAATCCTTGAAAATTTGGGTAATCATACCCTGCCCCCCAAGTTTTTACTTCTTAAGGCTTAACACTGTCAGTTCCTTCAGACAGTTCCCATGGTGCATGATCTTATGGCCCTTTAACATCCTGGTTGCTCTCTTTTGGAAATTCCAGATTATCAAGACCCTTCCTAAAATGAGAATCCCAGAATTTGACATAATGTTCAAGCTATAGTATGGCTATATGTAATACAGGAAACACCAACTACACTAATTGTTGGGCAGGAGCTACTGCTGTAGATTTTGGGCTCCAGCCTCTAGCAGATTCACTCTTGATCTAGGCAGCCAGAAAGACAATGATGGAGAAGTTATGAGGGGTTATATAATAATATATTCTTCTCAGTGGGTTCCTGATAATGGGAGCAGCAACTCCTATAGGATATCCTAATCACCCTTCTCACAGGGCCTGGAGAGAATGGGGGGTTAGTAACCCCTACGTCTCAATGGGGGCCAGTCGAGGCACTCACATTCACAAATACCTATTCATTGACCATTGCTCTCTTGATTTACAGAGAAGCACACAAAAGAAGGCAATTTGCCAACAGTAGCTTCACAATTTGTTATCTCATCCCTGTATCTCACTGTGCAGCCACAGTAGAAACTGTTTGCAAGCTTGAGCCTGGGAACTAGTAGACTGTTTTGGCCATGGATCCTGGGAACTATTATCTAAAAAACGAATAACAAAATCCTCCTTACTTACATTCTGGCAGGATTCTCACCTCCTGGTTCTGCTCATTTCACTTTTCATCAGTTCGTAGGAGTCTTTCCAGGTTTTTCTGAGATGGAGCTTTTAGTGGAAATCTCAGATTATCAAGGGCCTTCCTAAAATACAAATTGATATTGGATCGTTAATGACTAGTCTTTATTTAGCCATTGAACCAATTGGGATACACTATCATCTGCAGCACTTCTTAAAATATGAGGTGGCGACCCACAGTTTAAGAAGCGCTGATCTATCCCATATCTCTTCAACAAGAATGACATGAAGGACTTTATCAAATGCTTGGCAAAAATCTTCATTTGTTGTATCTTAAGCTCTTCACATTCTTGCTCCAACCTATCTTTGTATGCTGATTTCATATTATTTTCTATCACACATTTTATATTGCAGGCAAACAAGTCTACTTGTTCTTCCCCATAGATGACACTCTGGCTCTATGGCTGTGTTAGAAATGTTCTCCCACTTCACTCACCTCTCTGCCTCTTGGAATCCCAAGTTGAGCTCCACTGTCCCTTTCTATAGGAGGCCTTCCTTGATCTCTCCAGTTATTAATGCTGTTTTTGTCCCTCTGCATTTATTTTGGATTTACTTTGTGCATATGTTGTTTACATATTTGCATATTTATGCCTTAGTAAAATGCAAATTCATTGAGCACCAGAGCTACTTATTTGTTATCTTTCCTATCTATTTCATATTTCCTATCTATCTATATCTATTCCTGTCTTGGGTTAATACATACTTGTTTAATTGTTAGGAATGTAACTGAATTCTTTAGTTCCTCTGATCTACTCGTCTTGTAAACCTATCTATAAAGAAAATAAGGTTGTCTAGAATGACCTGTTCTTGGTAAAGCTATGCTAGTGCCTTCTATTCACAGCTTCTTTTTCTAAATATTCATGATGTCTTGTTGGTTATTTCTCGATGTTCTAGAATTTTCCAGTCTTATAATTTGAAAATTCTACTCTCTTCCTTTTTTTTTTGAAAGTAAGAGCACTTTCACTTTCATCAGATTTCTTCCAGAAAGTGAAAAATAATATGGTAGCATAGTCAATATTATGGTATGCTGCTTTATTTCATACTGCAGAAAATACCCCATAAAATCTGCCTAGCCAATCTCACTTCTCAATACCTTCACCAATACTCTATTAACAAAACCTATCACAAAGTTTCCAGATCCTGTTAGAATATCATTCTACTTTATATTGTGTTTTCATGTAACTATATAATGACATTCAGTGATAGTAGGCCTATATGTTTATAGAAGTTTCTAGCTTTTCTAGTGGAGTGCACTTAATAAATACTTTTTTGAATGGCATTTTGATAGTCATGATGTACTTTCTTCAGTAGTCAATTCTCCAATTGTTTGCTGTTGAAGAAGAGATAAAATTAGGCAGAGTATAAGTATAAACTTTAGGATATATGGCTTTAGAATATAACCTTAAATTTACAACATAAAGAAGAAAATTGTACCCCCTAGGATACAGGTCAGAATGGAAGAGCACAGATCATCATGTATAATCCACAAACCAGATAATCAGATATTTGGGGATATTGACAATGCAAAGCTTTAAATTATGAATTTACTATTTTAAATAGGATTATTAAGCAGTGTGGAAAATCCTGATGGCATCTCTCCAACAAATGTGTATTTGAACCAAAATGAAACTCAAAAGCATCCTTTTTTCCCCCCAGTGATGTTAAAGAGCTGATTTCCTATGGATAATTCACGCCCGCTTACTTCATTGTAAAAAATTCACCGTTACCTTTGCAGACGTGGCAATGATTTGCTTTGTTTGTCTTTGCATGATTGGCACAAGAAATAGTTCTATTGGGTGCCCAGGAATGAAAAGAGAAGAGACAGCACTTAAGTTGGAAGTGAAAATGATGGAACTCTCCTCCCCTTCAAAAAAAAGTATAAATAAAACATTCCCAAAGGAAAAAACAAGTATATTGTGATATAACAATTATCTCCTTAAAGACCAATTTATGCATTCTGTTAGGTTTTTAATCTTTACACTTTCTTTTGCTGAAATTATGCACATTTAAATAATTCATAAAATCAGAAAAGCACTGTCATTTTACTAGTATATTTGTCTGTTCTCCTCTGCTAGTATAAGCATACATTTGCATATTCTTTTTCTCTACTGACATTACATTTAGTCTGATCAAGTTTATGTAGTTTTCTATCTCATTTCTGTTCTCAATTAAATGCATGCTCTCATCCCAGTTGTAGCTTAAATTTTTCACTTCTTTTCCCTGTTTTCACTTCCTTTCACCAGCCCAAATCTCTGTAGAAAACATGTAGGCATTTTGCTGGTCAAACCAGAATTCTTCGCTTAATTGGTAACTGGGATTGATATGTTACCGTATTATAGCCGCTTTAGTACTAGATGTAATTTAAATCACCAGTTAGAACTTGGCCACGAAGTGCATTGAAGAGAGACTTCAATGCTGTAAATCTTGCCTTTCCTGTGATACTTTTTCATCTTCTTGAGAAGTTATACATTTTAAGTAAATGATTTCTTTTGAAAGGACCTCAATTGACCTAGGTGGGTAATTATGTACTGTAAGTCTGTCTTTAAGAAGAAAAGAAATAGTTGTGGCAAGATGGGTACAGTCTAAGTAAAGTAAATATCACCTTTCAAAATAGTGCCTAACATACTTTTCTGATTGTTTTGAAACTGTTTGAAGCTTAGGTCATACACCGGATGTATTTTCAGGCACCATTACAGAAAAGCATATGGATTGAACAAAAGTAAGCCTGTGCACTAAATGCTTATTTTAAAAATCATATAATTAAGTGCTCGTATTGTCTATCAGCTGCTTACTTCAGTTGAAGAGTATAGTCTCTGAGTGACTGCATTAAGCTCACCTGAATTTCATGTTAAATTCTACTTAATGAAATCCAAGATGTTTATCCATCAATTATTTTAATAACTATCTTGGATTTTGTGTGCATTTTTTCTATAGTTCATGTTTTTGCATAATGCAATAGCTATTCAATGCTTCTTAAATGTAGTGGATAGAGTTGAACTTGGAGTTACAAAGATTTGAATTCAAATCACATTTTTAGTAACTGTGTTCCTAAGCTAGTCACTTAATGATTCCAATAATAAACATGAATGTGAGGAAAAAAACACAAGTGTGCTGGATTCACCGTAAGTTGGGCTGATTTATTTCTGTTCAATTACACAGGCTTCAGAAGTTAGGCAAAGCTCATAATAATGGTTTATTGGCTGATTATGCATTCGTTTAGCTAATTTCAAACATAACCATATCCAACCTCATTGTGTTCATTTCAAATAACTCCTGGTCAGAAAAGCAACAATCATTCAAGAATATGATCAACAACTGGTTTATACAGTCATCCCAATCATAGTTATGTTTTCCCCCCCAAATTACAGACAAAATAATAAGCACCTCTATCTTTCACATACCAGAGTCTACACAGCAGGCCAGGCAGGTCTCCCTGATTCTGGGTTATTCAGCACATCACACAGCAGCAGACCATTGTTGCATTCTCCACCATGCTGGAAAAATGTAAAGGAAAAAGCCAGAATAT